TCTGAAATGATTGGAGGTGAGGAGAAATGAGGTAATTGATGATCTCCACAAGCATAGTCAGGCTTCATGCCTCTTTGATAGGATGCATGTTCACAGAATGGTGGTATTAGCATGCCCTGAGGGCAGAGTTCTAACCTCTTGATGTCGAAAGGTCGCTTATCAGACACATCTGCGTCGGTCCAGTTGAGGGGTTGGTGGTGATACTGGCTCAAGACAAGGTTGACATGAGGGAAGCCATGTTGTAGGAAAGAAGCCCTGTTGTAACTTTGAATGACCTCTGACAAACTAACCCAGCTGGATATGCACCCTCCAGGAGATCTAACTGCTATGTTGATTTTGTGACCCCTGCTTGTGCACGTACCTCCCAGCGGTGATAAGATGATAACTTTGGTTTTTTGAGTTCCTTAGGAATGTGATGACCCCCGAACAGAGAATCTATGCTAATAGCCATCATCAATGAAAACTGAAAGATCTGGTTGGTGACTCCCAGTCTGTAACACTAGAAGGTCAACACTCCTAACTCCCCCCCAATAACCCACTAACCCACCAGCCTATATAACTGCTGTAAGACTTTGTGCCCCCTTAAGACGGTTCTTTTGGATGTTAGTCGGCCATCTTCCCTCTTGCTAGCAAGCTGTAATAAAAAGTCCTTTTTCTCCTACCACCTTGCCTCTTGACTATTGGCACGTCTTGTGGCGGGCAGACGAAACCCCTTTTTGGGTGGTAACAGTGGTCTCAACCGGCCTGAGGTGGACAAGGGGTTCCAATGCCTGAAAACAAATAGCTCAAACGCCATTACCATGGTGACCCAGGCTCCAGGGAGATGTCATCCACAGGAACCTAGTGCGAGTCAGAGAGCATACTGCCTAAACAGCACAGTTAATATATGGGTAAGTGCATCATGCAGATTTAAGTCCTCACCTTCCATTCTGATAAGTTTTCAGGTAAGGCCATCCCTCCCCTTCCTCCTGGCACAGGGAAGAAGACATCCTTGCAAACAGAGATTTCCTCTACAAGTGTAAATGTCTCTTACAAAGGGTAACCAGAACTAAGAATGGCTTAGCAAGGACCCTCCCAGATACCTGGAGATGTCTATGGTGATGGCCTGTTCTGGGAGCAGGTCTCCCAACCCAAATTCCTTTGGTCAGTTGTGGGGGTTGGGGCCAAAGTGTCTTTCAGGCAGAGACATATTTTGAGGTGGCTGATTCTGATCCCTCTTAGTTACCAGCTGCTTAATCATCAATGGCTAACTGTTTGCCAGTTTCATATCCATCTACCTAGAGACATTTGTTTTTTGCTGAAACTTTTGAATATAAATTGCAGATATCCTGAAACTTTACCTCTAAATCACATACCCTTCAAAAAAATTAACAATAACGACATAATATGATCTAATATCCATCCCATAATCAAACATTTATAATTGTCCCCCAAATTTCTTTTATTGCTGTTTCCCAACCTAGAATCTAGACAATCGAACCATGTACTTGGCTGTTATGACTTTGTACAGGCTTTTAATTTGAAATAGCTCTCCCACCTTTTATAATGAGACTTATTTTTTGAAGAGTCCAGGCCAGTTATTTTGTACACGGTCCTGACTTTTGATTTTTGTCTCATGGAGTTGTTTAACTTGTTACTCTATCTCTTCACATTTTCTGTAAACTGGATATTAGGTCTAGAAGGGCTTGATTAGATTCACAGTAAATATCCTGCCAAGAACTTCTCACAGGGCATGTTGTGAATATTGTATTACGTCACATCAGGAGATAGTGTCGGGATAACCTACTATATTCGTGATGCTAAATTTAGCATCTTGGTTAAGGTTTTAATTGCCATGTTGCTCCATGGAAAAGATTAATCTTTTCTTTTATAATTATTAAAAAAAAAAACTCTAGAGTGACACTTTGGAACTGTTTCAATATTGTGCCCCATCAACATTTCACCCAGTGGTTTTACCAATCACTGCTGAGTCTTTTTACTGTCAGTATTATTTTCTGACTAGTTTTTAACATATTTATTTTTTAATTGAATAGTTAAATTTTTTAAAATCATAAATGCAGTATGTAAGACTACCAAACAAAAAGTCCTTTACCTTCTACTTTCCATTGTTAACAGTTTATCATGTTTCCTTTCTGAAGCTTAAAATCTTTGATAAGAATATAAAATCCTCAAGTTATAATACAAAAGAGAATTAAAATAAATTCCCTAATACAATAGCAATATATTCAGGGGTTTAAATGAGGGATTTTTCTCATGGGAAAAAGAGAGATTGGTGATAGTGTCACTGGGAAATGGGATTGAGTGGGCATTAAAGTTTAAAGACAATTCCAATACCTAAAGGAAGTCTAGGGGAAGGGCTGAGAGAATATCATGGACAAGGGCACATAGTGGGATGCTGAAGCCAGCTCCTATTGGCTTGCAAGAGCTGATTGATTGTTAAATTTTTAAGAATTTTGTGAGCTGGTTGTTATGCACTGTCATTATTAATAATTAAATTATATAAATTTATCGTAAGTTATATTAAAAACAGATAATAAATATTCAAAACTCATTACTTCTTGATTATTTTTACATCTTACCATTGTCTATGCTCTTGAGGTTATGTCTATTGTATCTGCATGATGAAAATATTATATAATGGTGTGCTATGCACATCACTTCCAACTCCATGTTCAGTGACATTATATTCGTAGTTCGAAATAGATCATGGTGGGAGCATTTAAACCATGGAAATATTAGCAAACACCACAAATTCAGGCTTGATTTATTGTTTTCTTGATTGTCTAGACTTAAAAGTGATGGAGAGAATGTTAGTAACGCAGATTAAACTTAGAGATGTGTTATGTCTGTAGTTGTTACATTGTGAATAGCATGAAAAATTGAGTAAATATTCTTTCAGTATTCAAAAACTATTATTCAATTCAGCAAAGAAGTTGATCACATCATCGTTGAAACAGTGAAATTTCAATATATGCCTTAGTTGTTTCACTTTCATCTCATTCTTTAACAAAAATATCAAGCAACAGTCATGGAATTACACTGGTTCATCAATTGCAAACATGTTACTATGGATGCAAAAGTTCAGCAAAAATCAACAAAAGTATTCTGTGAGAATCAATTGGCCATATGGAATTTACAATAGAGAACATTTTATATTTTAATATTTTTTAACAAGAAGATCTTTTAAATCAATAAAACATATATATATATATACACACATAGTGCTATGGACTGAATTGTGTCCCTCCAAAATTCATATGTTGAGGCCCTAACCCCCGATGCGTTGTGACTAGAATTGGAGATACCGTCTTTAGGAGGTAACTAAGGGTAAATGAGGTTATAAGCATGGAGCCTTAGTCTGATACGACTGGGTGGCCCTATTAAAAAAGGAAGAAAGATCTCTCTTTTCCTACCTCTCCCCACATATGCACCCACAGGGGAAATGGCAACCACCTACTAATCAAGAGAAGAGGCCTCAGAATGAAACCCACCTGCCAGCACCTTGATCTTGGACTTCCCAGCCTCCGGAACTGTGAAAAATAAATTTCTGTTGTTTAAGCCACCCAGCCTAAGGTATTTTGTTATGGCAGCCAAAGCTTAGACACACACATACACACACACACACATATACACATGCACTCCTGGTAGGTACACAAATAATGATAAGAAATGATAACTGCTATAAAAATATGGAGTAAATGATATGTGAGGAGTGCAGAGGACGTGGCATTTTATCACAGCTAGGGGGATAGGTAATCTAGGCTGGAGATCCTAAGGACCTGATCTTGGGCAGTGGCCTTAGAAAAACAGAAGTTTACATTCTTCAAGAGGGCACCATTTGACTTGTCAGCTACAGCTGACTAGCACCTGGACTGTTCATGGATGTTGGAGGAAAACTACACATCTGAGAAAGTCAGAGTATTACAGGTTCATAGTTTTCAAGTGGGTACCAGCTGTCCTGTGTATCTCTAGTCATCTTCCTCTCTTTAACCCCTTCAAATTTTATTCTGAATCCACTGCTCCTCTAACTCTTCCTTCTCTACAGCTCTTCTCTAGATCTCAGAAGATGACCTTCCCTCTCCAGCACACCTGTATCCATACTACAGTCACCAAACCTTGGATGGCCTCACCAAGTCATCTTTCCTCTTCTCTTCCCCTACAACATTGCCTTTCTTCAGCATCTCATCGCTTCTCTCCTATATGTATGTAATGGCCTGCCAATTGATCCTGGCTTTTAGTTTGCCCCTCAGATCATCCTCTATCCTGTTGCCAGAGTGATCTTTCTAAATCTCACGATGTCACACTTGTTTAAAATTGTACCACGGTTCCACGGATTTCAGGGTCAAGCTCAGATCCTCTCCTTAGCACACCTGCTTGACTCTCTAACTCAAATCTTTCACAACCCCCCTGATCCACCCCACATGCCCTCCCACCCCTCCACCCCCTTAATTCTCCTTGTCCTTCAAAACTGAGGGCCAGAATTACCTGTTCCAGGAAACTTTCCCAGATCCCTTCTGATTCAGGTCCCCTCCCCGTGATTAACTCGGCCTCTGCCCATATTACACAAGCACTGTGCTGTGATTTCCGTTTACTTGTCTCTTCTGCAACCTGTGTTATAGTCATCTTTTTATCCTCCATGTCAAGCATGGGGCCTGTCACATAGGCCTCATTAAGTGCTTGTTGAAAGAATTAATTTTAGAATTAGAACCAAGGGCTTAGTGAGTTCCTATAGGAAAACAGCAAAGAACACGTTTCTGAGGCTTCTGTATTACGGAGTGGAGAGATTTCGTGGTTTGCGCGTGGGCAACGAGGCTCATCTGCGCGCTAGAGACGAAAAAAGTTTATTCGCCAGCCTCGCCGACTGGCGTGCAGAACACGCGAAGCGGAAACAAGAAAAACTACACTTCCCGTCATGCCTCAGGGCACAGCTTCCGGCTCCTCCTATTTGTCCCCGCCTTGTCCCCACGGAAGTGAAAAGAGCAGTTCCAGGGTCAGCAATAACCTGGAGCCGGCGGCCTTTGGTCGGTGTTCTTGGGGCTTGCTCCGAAGCTCCGCCATCGCTCCGGTCTTTCTGGAAACCCAGCTTTGCTGTTGACCGTGCCGGACAGGTATTTTCTGGTCACAGCGGGTCCTCTCGTGGCAGTCGGCTGCACGGGAGCGGGCGAGAGCTTTGCGCCCTGTGGAGGCTCGGAGTCGCCGCAGGGCGCGGCGGGCCTGTGGCACGGGGCAGGGAAGCCGGTTGCCGGAGTCGTGGCCCCCGGTGGTGACGTCCCTTTTTTTTTTTTCTTTTCTAATTGCAGCGTCCGAGACGCGTGTGTGAGTTCCCCATGGCGGATACGGCCCCGAACGGCCCCCAAGGGGCGGGCGCAGTGGTAAGTGAGCAGGCAGGGTCGTCTGGCTTGATTAGCAAAGAGTTAGGAAGGAGCAGGAAGTGTTGCGAGTCGGGTTCGAGGCGTTCCAGAAGCTCCTAGGTTTCGGGACTGGGATTAGTGACTGGGGTGGGGGTTGGGGGTGGAGTGGAGAGGGGAGATGGTGACCGAAGATTTAGAGGGAAGTACAAGTTTGTTTCGGAGGCGACAACAGGCGGGCCCGGAGCTCGTGGCCGTCACTTGTATGCCATGGAAATTGGGTCCCCTTGCGTTTTTCCACCCCTCGGTCTCTGATTGTTCTAGGTCTCAAGGTTGAAGGTGCCACTTGAGGTTGTGCCGTGACACACGCCTCATTTCGCTCACGCGTGCTGGCAAAAAACGTTTCTGCCCATTTTATGCCATTATATAGAAATTACGCACAGGGAGGAGAGCGGTCTTTTTTTTTTCCTTTCTTCATTTTGGCCTTACTTTTTAACAAAGAGAAATGTCATTACGCTTTCGTAAATTTTTTGTTTTTAAGATGCAGATCTGCTGCTTACTCGTTATTTGTACCCGAAGCATTATTGCCTTTAATTTTAAACACTATGAGTAGGTGAATTGAATGAGTCACTTTTTTCTTTTTAAACATTTTGCAACATCTCTGATTATTATATACACACTTGTTCTTTATTTTGCTGAACGGTTTGAGAGTTAGTTGCATACATCATGATGGTTAACCCATAAATACTTCATTATTATTCTACATGACCACAGTGCAGTAATCGCAGGAATTTTTATAGTTAAATTTGGGAAGTTTAACATTGATATATGTTATTACCTAATATACAGTCCATATTCAGATTTCCTCAGTTGCCCTTTAAAGCGGCTTCCTCCTTATCCAGAATCAATCAAAAAGCATGCATTGCATTTTCTGGCCTTTAATCTCTTAGTTTAGAACAGTTTCCTTGCCCTCTTTCTCCCATTTTTGTCTTTCAAGAGTCCAGACCTGTTGTTTTGGAGAATGCTCCTCAAATTGGAGTTGTGTGATTCCCCCCCCCCCCATGACTAGATTCAGGGTAAACATTTTGGCAGGAATATTACATAAGTGATATTCTGTCCTTCTCATTGCATTATATATATCAGGAACATTTTATGTTGATTTATCCCATCGTTGGAGATTCTAAGTTTGATTATTTGGTTAAGGTGGTGTCCACCAGATTCTCTGTTGTAAAGATACCTTTTTTCCTTTTGTAATTAAAAAGTATTCTATGGTGTGATAACTTTGAGACTGTGAAGATAGTTTTTCACCCAAAGATTCATTGATATTTTTTGCCCAAACTATTTATAACATGGTTGGGCAGTTCACTCTTAAAATATAAACCAATACACTTTTTTAAGCCTTTTTTATTGCGTAATAAAATACACATCCATAAAAGTGTACAAAATGAACGCCCTAAACAAGTAGGTTTTAAAGAAAATGTTCTAAAATTAAATTTCAAACTGTGATGTAGAGTCTGAATATTGGTAAAGAAACTGAGCACAGTAAGCTAGATTCATCCTTCCACTTAATTTAGAGGAGTTACGGTATAGTAGGTTTGGATAGAATAAACCAGAGGCATATTTCTGTAATTACCTGCATACTGTTAAAAACACATGCAATAAAACATCCTTGAATTTTAAAATGTACTTGCATTTTCTTTTTTCCAAAAGTTTTTTATATCTTCTTTCAAAAGGTAATTAAGTTAGATTGTTTAGAGTAGTGTTTTAGACTCCAGACCCATTAGTGAATTTTGAAATCAATTTAGTGGAAACACTACATATTTCTAAAACATTAAATAGAATACAAAATTCTAAAATCTCACACATAGTGAAGATAAGTATTGTTTTGTGAAACATTTATTTACTTTATATATCCACTTATGTTTGTAAGGGGTCTTGATGTAAAAATTATTTATGTAGATTCTATCTAAAACGTAAAAGCCACTTTAGAATTTGCATATAAGATACATTTCGAATGAGAAAACATTTTAAGTTATTGCATTAGTGGTAATGGACACATCTATTGGCAAAATGCAGCAAAGGAAAAGAGAATGAGAAAAAATAGAGAAGAAAGTGGTATATGGAAGTTTAATCTAGGGCCACCGAAACCAGGGTAAGACTTCTGGGGGAGCTTCGAGGGGATGAAGAAAGTCATAAAATCAGAGAGGCAGGTGCCATTTAACACCTGACAGCGATATTTTGAGCACCTACAGTGTGCTGGGCCCTTGTGTCTACGTAGTCAAATAGTCCATAGACTAACGAGTTCAATAATGAGTTCAATAGTGAGTGACTATTATTACTGTGATTTTACATTTTTGCTTTGTAAGGTTTATTTAATCCAAACTGGCTTTTTGTGGTGCCTTTTCACTCAGATCTGAGACCTACCTATTTGAATTTGAGCTTTTCTAAGAATAGGCTTGATGGTTCTCTTGAGAGCAATTAGTTCTTATTTAACGTTCTTTAAAATAGATGAAGCCAGTATTAGAAGTGTTGAAGGAACACAGACAATTGTAGTTAAATTTTTGTTCAAATTTTTCTTTCCTAATTAGTCTTTTTATCTTTTTTATGTCAACTAGTATTTTTCTGTTTACGTACTTCCTGTGCTTTGGATTTGTTACCGGGCATATACATGAAACAATCGCCTTGAGAGTTTTCACTTAATGGTTTTAAAAAAACAACTGCTACAAGGTTGTTAAAACATTTTGAATAGGAATAAAACTACATAATCTTCATCCTTAAAAACAGGCTTAGTTTACTACAATATTTGTCTTTTTAAATTCAGCAATTCATGATGACCAATAAACTGGACACGGCCATGTGGATTTCTCGCTTGTTCACAGTTTACTGCTCTGCTTTGTTTGTCCTGCCTCTTCTTGGGTATGTATTATGTGTATTTCTGCCTTTGACATTCACTTGTTGAGTCAGTTTTTATGGAATACATTTTAGGTGCAAGACTTGTTAAACTGTAAAGGGTTCAGGGATAAATAAAACGCAAGTGTCATCCTTAAGATACTAAAAACCTAGTAATATTACCAACTGAGGAATATTTTATATTGTGTGCTTTGTGAAAACAAATGTCACATTGAAAATCTGAGAGAAAAGGGATATGTGGGGATGAGATAAGTTCATGTTTTTTGCATTTTTGATGTTTCAACTTAACCAGAAGAATGACTGCTGTATAAAATTCAGTTGGGAATATATATGAAGTGATGCTTCTAAGAAGGTACGATAGATTCAAGTAATTTTTTTCTATTGACAAGTAATAGATTTAGGTGTTGTGCAATTATGATGCAATTCACAAAGGAGGAAGAGCCATGGTAGTTGTTTATGTCTCATGATAACCTCTCCTCTGGTAATTTGCAGGTTGCATGAAGCAGCAAGCTTTTACCAACGTGCTTTGCTGGCAAATGCTCTTACCAGTGCTCTGAGGCTGCACCAAAGATTACCACACTTCCAGTTAAGCAGAGCATTCCTGGCCCAGGCTTTGTTAGAGGACAGCTGCCACTACCTGTTATATTCACTCATCTTTGTCAATTCCTACCCCGTTACAAGTATCCTTTATACTGTGAAATTGCCTACTGAGCATATAGAAGATTCTTCTGATTTTTTATTTTTGTAGGAAGGATTCAGAAATGAGGGTGTTCCATGAAGCCTGGTTTGGTTGGTTTGTTGGCACTTCATTTGAATGAAGATACATTTAGTGTAAGAATTTCTGACTGTAAAATGTGAAATCTAAATTTTGAAGAGCTGGTGTGTGAATTTTAAACTTTGGATCTTTGTTCTTGCCTCTTGTAAACTTCTCTGTTAGCAATGGGTATTTTAAAATTCAGATTCATAGCACAAGCCTATGGAGGACTTATTTTAATATTTAAATTTTTCTTTCATTTAATTCACATCTTCTTTGGGAAAATGTCCAAATGTCTTGCCTTATAAAAAGAGTAATCCTTAGCTCTTTCTTTTAACTCCTAGGGAGCCAGAAACAAATGGAAATTCATAAGAAATAACTTACTTAAGCAGAGAATGAGATAATAAATAAAATAAAAAGAAATTAATATTTGCTATGATTAGAGTAGAAAATAAGGACACATTGATAATATCTGGAGCTACTGAGAAATAACTCATTTGGAATTTATATGTTCACACATTTTAAGAGTGTTGTGGGATGATAATAGGTATTCTAAAAAGGAGGGAGAGGGATGAGGGAAGGGAACTCAAGAACTCTTAAGAGTTCTTGAATATTTATGATATAACTATACATAATGGAAAGCACAATAAAATGTCTCTAAGACTAAATATTACCTATTTAGATAATATTTTCTATGTTTGTGGAGTATCAAATTTTAAATAGGTTTTTGTAAGTCTTAAGGAAAAGAGAATAGGAGGAAACTGAAATTCTTTGAGCACCCTATTTTGCCAGTATATACAAACTTGACATATTTAATCCTTGCGGCAATCTGAAAAAATTGTAAGCATCATATTGATAAGAGTACTGATGCTCAAAGAATTTAAAATAACTTTCCTGATGTCACATTGGCAAGTTAGTAATGCTGACAAGGTCTGTCTCATTTCAAAGGTTTACCTAATCTACAGTTAATGGGTAACACTCAAGTATAGTTTTAAAATATTTCTGTCTGGGGGCTGGCCCCGTGGCTTAGCGGTTAAGTGCACGCGCTCTGCTGCTGGTGGCCCGGGTTCGGATCCCGGGTGCACACCGACGCACCGCTTCTCCGGCCATGCTGAGGCCGTGTCCCACGTACAGCAACTAGAAGGATGTGCAGCTATGACATACAACTGTCCACTGGGGCTTTGGGGGGAAAAATAAATAAAATTATTAAAAAAAAAATATTTCTGTCTGTACCTGGACAAAGCTGGTTGCTCCACTTACATATACTACAGTATATGGAGATTCTGTTTAAATTCTTTGCTTTACCAAGAAAATATAAGTGGTTTGGAATGCAAGGATAGCTTTTCATGTTTCAGTGCATGTATGGGTCTGTAATGTCCCATCATCATTTATATTTGTTAATTTTTAGGTAAAACTTACTAGATGATTGTTGTACTACAACTGTAAATGACAGTCACATTTGTTTGGCACATCATTGGATTGACCTGCTTTTGTCAATCACATTTATTGAGGTCCTTTACAATCACCAATATTAAAATTCTTGCCTTTCTGAGATAAAATGGGAACGTATGTAGAGGTTCTTGGTTCTGCCCTTTGGTAGCTTAAAATTTCTTGGGAGAGAGAAATAGAAACTGTGTTTTCCAGGTAATTTATAGAGCAGATTGAATACATCAATACTGACCTCTGGGACAGTGCATGTCACAGAGCAGGTGGTCAGTGAGTTTTGTTGAGTGAGTCCTTAGATGGTGCCAAATGAGACTCATAACCAGTGAAGACAACCTCTCTGCCTTTTCTATGGAATTGGTTATTTGCTAGCCCTTCTCTATGGGGATGTTGAAGATTGAGGATTTCACGTTCCTTAAACTCTTACGGTGGTGGGAGGAGTAGTTAGCAGTGGGAATAACACAAACTAGTAATAGGCAGGAAACACTCATCTGATTCCTACCGTAGTTGGGTATTGTGTTAATAAATAAAGGTGAGACCAAAGTCGTATTACAAAGTTATGTTATGATCTTTGCTCTTACAAAGGTGATATATTGTCCTGGCTCTAACAATGACAGGTACTTAGGTTTAAATTGTGGACTTTTCACCCCTTAGATTTTCTAAGTAGTTTAAAAGTGACATTGAAAGCTAAGACTATGAATCTCTTATCAAGGATTTGTGGGCTATAGAGTGTTAGAGGTAAAAGACATGTTAGAAATCTCTAGCTTTATCACTACATATTCATTTGACAGAATATGAAACTTGGCCTAGGGAAATGAAGTTAGTGTCAGAGCCATGACTGGAACCCACATATCTTGACTCTCAATTCAGGGTTCTGTTTTCACTACCTGACGTTGCCTCTTTATTGAATCAGGCTGCAAGTTAGGATCTGTGTCAAGTTTAAATTAAATTATTTAAAAAGCAACAGAGTTTTACAGTGGCCTTAGGAGAGGGTTGTAGCTTTCATCAGTTTCAAAGGGATCTATGATTCATTAGAAAATGTGAAACTTTATGTATATGTATATGATTACTACTCAGGAAATTGGCATTTTACTTAATTCTTGTAAGTGTTAGGGAAGAATTAGCCAAGATATTAATTTGGAGAACTGCTATGTTAGAGAGTTAGGATTCTTATAACACTTGGGTATGGGTCAGTATCTTGCTTGCCATTTGGAGATTAGGAACCTTTGGGTCCTAAATGAGTGATGGTTATAATGAATTTGATACTCGGATTGTGTTACAGCAGTCACCATTTCCTGTCACAACAAGCTTTCAGTTAATGTAGAAAAATATATAAAAATTCATTTCTTAGAAACTGTTACTATTTTTAGGACAACTATTGTTGCCATTCATGATTGACTAATGGTCCGTATCATTTTATGGACATACTTGACAAGTTTTTGTTGTTGTTATCCATCTGGCAGAAATTGGGGTGAATAGGGTCTTTTGAGCAATTTCTGTTTTTCAAAAAACTGAATGAAAATTGTTATATTTATTCATGACCTAGAGCCAGACAGTTGACCTCTAATGTAAGAATTCTTTGCTTATGTCTGTAATTAAGCTGGTGAGACTCTCAATTGAGTATATACAAACCTAAGTATGTACTCTTTTTATTTGTACAACTTGAGAACACATTAACTGTAAAAGGTTAATAGGTACAGTACCTCAAAATAATGGGGTCGTTGTAGGAAATAAATAATAAAAGGATCTTTAGTTGAGGAGAATTTGGGAACTACTCTTTAAACCATTACCCCAGACTCTTTACTAAGCAGTTGAGATAATGAAAGCAGTACAAAGGACTATCTTTGTATTTGAAGGCTAAGTTATTCTGGTCAGGATGGCCACTGTGGGGTTAAAAGCTATATTATTGAACAGTTTGAGGTGGCCTGTATTTCAATTTAATTTAGCAAACATTTACAATATTTTATTATCCAATAGAAATAAACTTTTTTCACTGTTTTCTTCATAGAAAGAACTGTGAGCTTTAAAAAATGAAGTAGTTAACTTTCTTCTTTACAGATTAAAAAAAAACTTTGGTTACCAAGTGTATCAATAAAAAAAGCCATCACTGAATTCATTTTAGCAGATGCCGTCTCAGATCTGTATATTTGGACATAATACGTAGCCGGTTTTGCAAAGTATTTGATGAATTTTAAATGTTTTCCTTAATTGTTTTCTTCAGTGAGTATTTTCCCAGTCTTGTTATTCTCTTTGCTTCATGCTGCCACATACACAAAAAAAGTCCTTGATGTAAGTTAAAACTATGCTGTTTTTTTTAAACTCCTGGATTACAGATAGTTGACATGAATTTGAGCTCTAGGACATTCGGGAATTTGTCACAAAAGGTTCCCGTATTCCTTCCAAACCTGTTCCGAATTATTCAGTGATTTGAAAGTTTTAAGTTTAGAATTTTTTATTGTTTAAGTTTCATAAAATAGTACCATTTTGTACATAAAGGATTGTATTTAAGATTACCCCTCAGTCACCAGAGGAATTTCTGAAGTTTGAAATAGATCCTTTTATTTTTTTAAAAAGTCATATCTTGAGCCAGCCCTGATGGTCTAGTGATTGAAGTTCGGCACACTCTGCTTCACTGGCCTGGATTCAGTTCCTGGGCTTGGAACCACACCACTCATCTGTCAGTAGCCATGCTGTGGCATTGGCTCACATAGAAGAACTAGAAGGACCTACAACTACAATATACAACTATATACTGGGGCTTTGGGGAGGGGGAAAAAAAAAGTCATATCTTTTAGGTTTGATAGGTTTTCAGAGATGTCTTGTTCTGTCAATATTTTGACAGTGAATATCTTTTACACTGATGTTCAAAACTTCTACTTTCCTAAAATTTTTTCTTATTGCTGGGTTGGAACATTAAGCCTGACTTCAGTGTGCCAGACAGATTGGCTCCATATGTACTGAAATTTGAATTAAAATAGTCATATTTTTGCCTTGTGTTGGCCTTTTTCTTCACAGCGGTAATTGGAGTCCATAATTTCTACCTTTAGTTAGCTAGGGAGTCACAGGTACTTTAACTGTATTACTAGGTAGTCAGATTTTATTATGGTTGGAGAGAAATAAACATTTTTTGTGAAATAATCTAATCTTTCTTGAGAAAAAGCATGAAAATGACTTTTAACTCTTCAAATAACAAACTTCAATAAAGCAGGAAGATACACTAACTTTTGTTCTTAAATAGTTTGTAAGCTTTTATGTCATCATTTCCAAATAATTGTCTTTTGGTTGTATTGCCTGTTGGATATGCTGTTTATCTAAAGAAAGAAAATAGGTGAGTGATCAAAAATGCTTCGGTATTTCTAATGTTTGTGCTCTTATGTTTTAGGCAAAGGGTTCAAATAGTTTACCTCTGCTGAGATCTATCTTGGATAAATTAAGTTCCAATCAACAGAATATTCTGAAATTCATTGCTTGTAATGAAATATTCTTGATGCCTGCTACAGTTTTTATGCTTTTTAGGTAAGAATTAAAATATATTTGTTTTGGGAGGTGGGTGGCTTAAGTGAACATAGTAAATATATTAACTCGAATTTTATCCTGCTTAAATCAGTTGAAGGAGATACTGATACACAGAGCTACATGGATCTTAGCCATCATTTTTTAACTTTATAGTAGAAAACCTGAGACATTATAGTAAACCTAGGAACTTATCTTATTTGTCATTCCTTGTGACTTATCATTTAACATTTTGAAAATTAATTTCAGAATTACTACGTTTGAAAGAACCTTAGGAGGTCTAGTTTACTCCATTCTGCCATTATTGAGATGATTTTTCTTATACTAGAGAAAAATTATGATCTGGTATTTATAGCTGTCTACTGTCACCTCCATATTTGTTTTCATCTTAATTATAGAAGTAACGTATGAATAAAAAAAGCCTTCCTTTGGGCCGGCCTGGTGGCGCAAGCAGTTAAGTGCGCGCTCTCTGCTGCGGAGGCCCAGGGTTTGCTGGTTCGGATCCCAGGCGTGCACCAATGCACCGCTTGTCAAGCCATGCTGTGGCAGCGTCCCATATAAAGTAGAGGAAGATGGGCATGGATGTTAGCCCAGGGCCAGTCTTCCACTCAGCAAAAAAGATGAGGATTGGCAGATGTTAGCTCAGGGCCGATCTTCCTCACAAAAAAAAAAAAGAAAGCCTTCTTTTTAAAAGTTAGAACATTAGAATAGTAGAGTATTGACCTCTCCGTCAATATTCTTGCATTTACATTTTAAAACTGTATTTCTGCCTGGATTATTGCTTTTTTAATTTTTAGTTTTACAAGTATAGGACATTACAGATAAAAGCTAAAATATCATTTGACTGTGAATCCTAGTTGCAATTCTGTCCTCTACTTCCCAGAGGTAAGGAGTTTGGTATGTGTACTTGTGTGCAGTTCTTTACAAATACTTATACAGATATGTAGAAAATACTACTTCTTATATTATGAGTGTGGAGTTTTATTTGTTTAGTTTTTATTTTACATCATAAGTGTCATAATGCATCAGTTGTCTACATTTTGCTTTTTTCACTCATATAGTATGTTTTCGTGACCTATTTTTGTTGACATATACAGTTCTGATTTGTTTCACTTAATGGGCTGTATAGTGTTCCATCATATTAGTATGCTATATTTCCTTACCCGTTCCTCTATTAATGGACATGTGTTTCCAGACTTTTACTTGTCCAGATATTGATGCAGTAAACATCTTTTTACCTGTCTGCTTATACTTTTGTGCCAGTGTTTTCTCTAACATAGATATGAGAATTGATTTTGCTGATTCTAAGCTACGGGCATCTTATATTTAATAGACTATGCCAGATTGTCCTCTAAAATGTCTTTTTTTTTTTTATTATTATTATTATTTTTTATTGATGAGAAAGATTGGCCCTGAGCTTACATCCGTGCCAATCTCCCTCTATTTTCTATGTGGGATGCCACCACACCATGGCTTGATGAGCGGTGTACAGGTCTGTGCCTGGGATCCAAACCTGTGAATCCCAGGCCACGAAAGCAGAGCGTGGACACCACGCCACCAGGCTGGCCCTGAAATGTCTTTATTACCTTTTTTCCATAACCTCATTAGTTTGTTACGAACTTATTTTCATTTATGAACTATTTCATTTTAATGTTCATCACCTTGATTAACTAGTAAGGTTTTTATATACCTGACAGTTACTCCTTTCTTGAGCAGTCTCTCTTCAAGCTAGTAACAGAGTTTTATAGATTTCGTCATAAATACATCTGTTCCATTCTTTTAAGAAATGTTTTCCTTTGAAAACTCCAGGATCACCACGTGTTGCTTAAGTTGTGGGGTCGCAAACTAGATAATATAATATAAAAGTTCTGGAGTGATACAACAGAAAGACTTCCTGCTAGGTGTTACAGACCTGGATTCTAGTTGATTTGACAATTAATTTAGCCTTCTGAGCCTTGATTTTCCACATTTAAAAAACTAGTTGTAGTTGAAATAAGTAATTGCCTAAAATCCTCCCATCATTCCATGAACATTGAACAAAGGATTGGATACAGCCTTATTTGTCTATTATTCCACTCTAAAATTTTCGCCCTAGAAGTTAGTTTCTCTCTCTCTTTGTGATCCTGATCAGACACTTAAACATTTAATTACTAAAGGGAACTTTTTGCCCTCTTTCTTATTTGTTTTTCTGTTTTCTTGGGTCACACAAGGTTCTGTGATTGTTTCATTATTAACTGGGTGAAAATTAAAATGTAGGTACCGAAACTAGTTCTTTATGTGGAGATCATTGATGTCTACATCTGAAACCTCCAGATTCTGTTTAATAAGCAAAATAATTTATTCTTCTCTTAAATCAGCCTAAGATAATTATAATGTGATGCTGAGATGCCATGCACACTTAAACAAAAGCCTCATTTTTGAAACTGCCGTGGATTTTTGGTTGGAGCACCAAGTTTTGACTGCATTGGTACTTTAACTCAATTGTGCTACTTAATCTTTTATTTAAACACTTATGTACAAACTGATTTTAATTTTTAAGATTATTGTAAAGGAGATGAGAATTCACCAGAAATATTTAGAAAAATCACTTTGTTATTCTAAAAAATTAAAATAAGGTTATGAAGTTTTATTCAATCCCTAATAGGAAAAGCTGTTAAGGCTTTAAGTATGTCACTTGAAAATAACACAAACTATAAAATTAAAAACAACTTTAATTCATTATTCCTTAAATGCTACCCTTCATGGTAGAAGTACAGTCTAATATTAGAAAGCTTTATTAAGTTATATTTGTAGCAATGATGCTTAAAGGTCTGTATTTAAAAAAACATAGTCTGTGAGTTTATGTTACATACACATGCACATGTGTGCAAAGCCAGGTAAAAGGATGATCCTTGTAGTTTTATTTATTAGTAGAGAGCTTGTTACATACTAGTACATGTATAAGATGGAATACTTGAAGTTGTAAAAAGAATGAGGTAAATTTATGTGTTGTGATAGGGGATGAACTCCAAGATACAATAAGTTTAAAAGTTTATTAAAAAAACTGTAGGGTATTCCCCATTTATATTTTCAGATGTGTGTTTATGTGTTTAAGGGCATGTATTTCTTTCTGCCTCAGTTTCTTCATCTTTAAAATGGGAATGATAATACCACTTCCCTCCTAGAGTTGTTCAACAGATGCGGTGAATTATAAAATGAGCACTGTATTAGTGTTACTCATTATATACTCTTGTGTATATAAATTTCTGGAAGGGTATTACTAGAGACTGTGCTGTAACTTTCAGGAAGGAGCTAACTTGGTGGAAAATTTGTTTTTCATTGAATATTCTTTTCTATCTATATTTTCTATAGTATGTATATTTTTCAGTTTAAAGAGTTAAAGAGGGCCGGCCCTGTGGCTTGGTGGTTAAGTGCGCGCGCTGCAATGCTGGCGGCCCGGGTTCTGATCCCGGGTGCGCATCAAGGCACCGCTTCTCCGTCCATCCTG